CCTGATGGTATTGACTTACAGGATACTGCAAGATGCTGCATTTTCCAGCTGCTTGTTCCCTCCAGCTTCCCGGGATGCTTCCCAGCTATCCAGATTGTTCCAGTACAAGCCTATTTGGAAGTTTAAATCCAAGGTTATGTAGCTCTAGAGCAGTTATCTAGCAGAAACACTTCAGAAACTAAGCCATGGTAGAAAATGACAGCTTTGCCCACTGTGATGATGTGCAACAACCTAGTACAGTGTAACCCTAGTTGTAATCCAAGGAGAACAAGACTAGTGTCTTTCATGGGTTCATCAGTGAGTGACTAACACATACAGAATGGAAGAGAGCCTCTAGGCATTGTGAAAAGATTCAGAGCACAACTGGTATAATGCTTGTTGAATTGCCTTGTTGCCTGTAACACTGTTATCCTCTTCCACGGAAAGGAGTTGCTAAGGAAAACTAGGGAACAATGAACTGGGAAATGTTTGCAGTTTTGTTCTGAAGCTTCTTATATTTAATGTTGTGCAAAGTTTCTGGTGTAATTTTTCGTCTGAGTGGGTGGCTTTGGGATGCATGAAGGGAAATACTTGATTTGAAGGCATCAGCAGGAAGACCTACTGTCATGGTTTGAGAGCTCCAAAATCCAATTCCCTAGTCCAAGCCCCCTCCCACATCTCAACCCAATGTGAGATGGTTTTCCAGACACCACACGAGACTTAAAATGGGGAGAAGGGAATATATATTACAACGACTGTACAAATAAATACTACAATACATTATATACAATCTTAATTATCTCTACCATGACATAAGTATTTACAATGGATCAAATCTCTTCTCCCCTCCAAATAAAAGTCCAGGAGGGAAGAAGGAAAAGATCCCTTTCCACTCTCAGACTCTGCTGTCTCTAAGGCAGCAGGTTCTCTTCTATGCATCATCTGTATCTGGATCTCTGCCAGTACACACAAGGGGTATCCAAGCCCCTCAGCCCGTCATCTTCAAGTGAGGGTCTTCTCTTCCGTGGGCTGCAGGGACAAAACTCGCGTCACCACGTCATATCATGGGGCGTAAGAGCCCCATGAAGGTCCCTTCCTCAGGGGATTCACCCCCGAGTCAGAACATCTTGGGCAGCTTTCAGTTGGAAGCCTTTGCCTCAAGAGTTCTACCAGAGCTCCTGTGCTCTATCTCAGGCTGCCAGCTTGGCAGCAGCGGCGAGGGGGGGCCAAGGTCACCCCCTCTGGATTCTTTCTCCATCCTGGTCCAGCTTTCCAGGACGCTTTGAGCTTCTGAGCTCTTCTCTGCAGTGCATGTTGCACTTCACCCTTCTCTTCCAGGAGGTGAGGGGTCTCCAAGGATTTTGGGGGGTTTTTGGTTTCAGTTCTTACCCAAACTTTCTCTGTAGAACTCAGTTTCCTCTCTGCTGCCGGCTCTCTCTCTCGGCTCTCTCAGACAACTCTGTGTCTTTCTTTGGCTGCATGCTGTTTTGCTGCTTCTTCAGTTCTTATCTGTTGGCTCTTTGCCACTGCTCTCTGTCTGCTGCTGCCTCTGCCGCTGCTCTGTCTGCCCACTCACAGTGGAGAAAACTTCTTTAGTTTTCAGCCACAGGTACTTAGCCCAGCCTTACGCTGTTCCAAGTCCCTGCAGCACCCCCAGCTGGGGGCTGGGGGGCCAGAGCCCCCCAGGGGGCTCCTGCCCTCACTCCTCGTGGCTTTTACAACATGGCTAATTCTCTAACAACAACAACCACCTTCTCTTCCGTTCTGCTTGTGATATGTTTATATTTTGCAGAAGCGCTCATTGGGTAAAACCTCAAAACTTCAGGGGTCACCACCCCCTGGGGTTTTACCATTTTATAACTGCAGGGGGAAAACTGTTTCCCCCCACCACACCTACCAGTCTCTACTGAAGCTGATCTGAAGATCATTTAAGCAGCTTATTAGTATGTAAGTTACTCATCGCTGCAAGTGAAAAAGAATGTTTCCCTGAGGGGTATTCACTGACTAATTTTCCAGTGTCCCAAGTGGACACTTCTGTCTGCTTATCCTTATTTTTCCCTTTCAGGCTCTGACTTTATTTTGTCTGTCTAAAGAGTGCTTCCTTATCTTAGAACCATTATCTTTTTTTACACTTCATTCTTTATGTTTCCATTTAGGATTAGTCAGAACCAGAGCTAATTTCATTTCCTTGTGACTCTCTGATGTATAAATGACAATATGACATAATTTGTAGAATTCAACAGCTGAGAATATAGAGTCTTGAATGAAGTTACTCTGCAGGACCCTGAAGAATAGCTCAGTAGTTCTCTAGAGGCTTCTGAAGTATTAATGAAAATGCCTCTGATTTCTTTTGTTTTTTCCATTCTTCATTTATATTCATTCTTACTTGGGAAGTAAGATTATAATATCAGTGCAATTGAAACTAGATGAAAGATTCATTAAAAAAAAAAAACAACCACAGCAAAAAGCCCAGCTTCTCCCTTCTCCAGGACATTCTAATAATATATTATTACTGTGTGAGAAGTACTTCTATAATAGCTGGAGAGTTAGAGAATTTTTGAAAGTAAGTGGTTTGATTGACTGAATATCTTCTAGCAACTTAGAAAGCTTTACATACAACTGATTGAATACTGCCTGTGAAATACGTTGTCAAGCCCAAAGCACCTGCCAAAACCAGGTGATGATTCCTTTCTTTAAAATACATCAGATAGCAAAGATTTAACTCATTATTTTGTTACTACACAAAAGGAATTAGCATAAAACATGACACAATATATAGAAAATTGAATCCCAAATGACATTCAAGTACTGCAGACCAAAATAGTAGGTCTGTGAGGTAGATTTTGAAGTTAGTATTGCATGCTTCTATTGAGAGTCCTGTTTTATCAAGAAGCTGAGCTAGACTTCCTCCTAATTCTTGGTACTTGTCACTTGGTATACACATTGGCCATGTGAACAAGAGTATGATCTTGCTGGCATTTTATGTGGGCAGCAATGGGAAAACTCTACTCAGCAAGTAAAAGCTTGGGGTTTTTTATCGGTTAGAGGAAAAATCAAGGCAAAGAATGAGTGTCAACAGAGAAGTGTGTGGGACTGCAGCTGCTTTTTCATAGGAGTTGCTTAACATGCTGTTTTGTTTCATTGTGTCTGTTTGTAGGTAATGTACTAAAATACTTACAAATCTGCCACATAAATCAATTACACTCAAAAGAGCTTCTGCTAAGAGTCAACAACATATAGTATCAACAACATATGGCTGTTGGTATGGTCTGCAGTAAAAACAATTTGACTTTCCTTGGAGGTGGGAAGCTAAATTCTACTTGCATGCTCTCTGGCTGCAGCAGAATAAATGGAGTTGTCTTGTCAAGCAGTATTTGTATTCTTGTAGCTATGTGCTGATTGTTCTGCACAGTATGTCTCTGGGATAAGCAAAATAAAGGAGAAAAATAGTGTCTGTGGAGTCAGGGTTGGAAAGGTGGGATCAGATCACGTGATGCAGAGTATGTGTGCCTCACTCAGCTGTGCTAGTGGAGATCCTCCTGCCTCCATAGATCAGAGGGTGGGAGCACCTGATCTAGACAAGCTGAGAAAGTTGGGGTTGTTCAGCCTGGAGACGAAAAGGCTCCACAGAGACCTCATTGCAGCCTTCCAGTACCTAAAGGGGACTACCAGAGAGCTGGAGAGGGTCTTTGTACAGGGGCATTTAGTGCTACAACACAGGGGAAAGGCTTCAAATTGAAAGAGGATTGGTTTAGATCAGATATTAGGAAGAAATTCTTTACTGTGAGGGTGGCGAGGCACTGGAACAGGTTGCCCACAGACATTGTGATGCCCATCCCTGGAAATGTTCAGAGCGATGTTGGATGGGGTTTGGAGGAACCTGCTCTAGTGGAAGGTGTCCCTGCTCATGGCAGAGGGCTTGGAACTAGATTTGAGGTTGCTTCCAACCCAAACCATTCTGTGGTTCTATGATCTTGCTAAAGACAGGTTTTTAAAGAAGGGAGAAAATCTTGTGAGTTTTGTGGTATCTTCATATGCATTAGAAAGGGCCCAGAGCTGCATGCAGTTAACAACAGATCATTTATTCTTGTGATCTTGCTGTGTGAGGTAGAATCATAGGTAAATTTGTGATGAAGAATTTGTTTCTTTTGTATGATATTTCTTTGAGATCTGGATGGAATAAGATGCAATGATAAGGGAAAAATACTGTCATAACTAATGCTGGTTTTTTTCTGTACTTCTGCTTCACTGCCATCCATTCACTCTATATGAAATGAATGGGTGGGGCTTGAATATTCAAAACAGTGGGTTGCATTCTGTGTATATGACTGTGAAGTTATGTGCATCAAGTCCTTTTTTTTTCTGTTCTGCCTGTCCCATGTGTTTAGTTACATGTTATGTACATATAGCATCTCTTGGGTGAGGGGGAAGGCAAATTTCTTCTGGATGTGGCTTCACGCAGGCCTGTCTGTCTCACTGAAGTGGTCAGTGGAAAGAAAAGCAAACTGCTGTGATCCACTAACACATAGAGACAAATGGATTAAAATTTTATATTTATATTTTAATTATATTTGTATTTACTTACAGTGCATTTTTATCTTTAAAAAAGAATTATGCACTAATTATTCAAATATGAGCACTTCAGCCAATTCCTGTATTTGAATACCCAGAGTGGAGCATTTAATATGAGAATCAACATAAGCGTCAAAAAATACAGTTTGGATATTTTGTGTAGGCATTTGCCTCTGAATTCCCTAATTCATCCATTACCAGAAGCTGGGAGGAGATAGCTGGGGAATAATTGTTTTCAGTCTTCTGGTTTATAAAGCTATTACAGACTTCCTAGTTTGAGCAGTGTAATGATTCAATCAGTGATTCCTGACAAATGCAAAGAAATTATTTTTATTTGCAGTACTAAGGAACATTAAATTCTGTTAAGATTATTGTTGTTGGGGTTTGGGGGTAGTTATTTGTTCGTCTGTTTGTTTTCCTTTGTTTATGCTTCCTGTCTCTACTCACAGGTAACACCATGGTGCTGTGGTCAACTTGCAGAACATCGCTACTTAAATCTGTAACAAGCCGATTCATTAAGAATTTGGCCTGCTCGGGGATCTGTGCCAGCCTAGTCTGTGTGCCTTTTGACATTGCTCTTAGTGCCAGTCCACACTGCTGCTGGTGGATCTATACGATGCTTTTCTGCAGAATTGCCAAGTTTCTGCACAAAGTCTTCTGCTCAGTGACCATCCTTAGTTTTCCAGCCATTGCTCTTGACAGGTAAGGGAGCAAATTTGCCATGATCCTGCACTTCCCTTTCTTCTTTCTCCCTTTGAAATATTTTTCTCCCTTTCGTATTGTCTTGCTTCTGTTCTGGTGCTCTGTTTGCAGTGTACAGTTTCTCTCTAGAATGTTTTGGGAGAAATATTTTTGTAACAGTGAAAATCTTTAGTTTTCAGTTTACTCTGGTACCTCTGGACATTTATAAAGGACTTTGAGACTACAGATTTGTCTTCAGAGAAGTTTTTATATTTTCTTCCTGTTAATAATGCTTGGTCAGTGATGAACTTAAAAGCAGACAACTTCAGACTGTAGACGAGGTGCACATTTTTATCTGTGGAAATTGAAAGCCCTTGCCTGTTAGAAGGATTTACCAATGCCTGGAGGTAGATTGTCCATCAATGTCAAATTTCAAATATAGATTTGTTTTAAAAAAAACAAACAAAATTAATACAACCAGAATTAGTTCAGGGAGTTTTTGTATGTAGATCAGTCTAAAACAAAAGTGGCCCTCTGGACTGGCTAAGTTTTTGGATGCCATTCATGTTGCAAATTATTATCAGTCACTGATCCCACCTAAATGCGCAGCTCTATCAGCTTGACAGTGACTGTAAGTTAGATATTCTTAAGGAAGGGTAGATATGGTTTAATAAAGGACACGTTACTAAAACAGTAAACTTATACATGTTAGATAAAAGTAAGTCTGTTATCATGTCTCACTGCAGAGTATGCTAGCTCTACAAAACCAAACTGTATACCTAATAAAGTGATATGTCTCTTACATATTAATGTGATATGTCTCTTACATGTTAATGCAGTGTCACTATCTATAGTGCACACCAGTGTTGCCATTGGAACAGCATATCGTTTGCCCTTCACCAAGAAAACTTGTGATTTTCCTCACAAAAAGCACAAACTCCTACCACTTATAATAATAAGTGTGAAGAGTTAGGTCTGTCATGAAAACTCTGTGAGCTTAAAAATCCACAGCAGTAGTCCAGTAGTAAGCAAACAATGAATCAGTGTCTGAAATTTGACGTGCATGTCAGAGATGCACTTTTTTTTTAAATGCACACTGAATGTTCAGTGTGCTCAGGGCCTTGCTGACCACAGCTTGTGCAAAACAAAACAGCACTGTATTTCCAATAGATGGATACATGTAATTTGTCACCAACAGCTTTTTCCAAATATCCAAAGAAAAAAATCTATCATAAAGCAGCTTTTAAAATTAACTATGAGTCTGATTGTTCAGTGTGACATATCTGTGCCCCCATCATGTTTTTTGAAATTTTGAGTTGTGTGCAATGTACTATTCTAGTTTACAAGTAAATGATGACATCTTCAAAATAATAGTCACATGCATCAGCCAAAGTGATATAGTCTCAGTTATTGAAAGAATTGTTCACTACCAATAATGTGATCCTGAAGTTTCAATATTAATTTTTTTTTCTACAGACAGACCTGCAAAGGCAGACCATTGGGTTTTTTTTTCTTTCATAAGCAGGTACTCAGTTGACAACCCAGTTAGATATTTGGGACGTTACGCTCAAACAGCTCCTGTGAGAAGTTTTTCAAAAGGACTATGCTCATTATAGACTTCACCCTTTGCATTGTATCAATTGTAATTTTATTTTTGTTTTGACAGATACTACTCTGTTTTATACCCTCTGGAAAGAAAAATAACTGATGCAAAATCCCGAGACCTGGTTATCTATATCTGGGCCCATGCAATAGTGGCCAGCATTCCAGTATTTGTTGTGACCAATGTGTTTGATATTTATGCCATGTCCACCTGTTCTGAATCTTGGAGTTACTCCCTTGGCCACCTGATATATGTCATCATCTATAACATCACCACTGTGATTGTACCAGTGGCTGTGGTATTTCTCTTTATGATTCTTATTCGCAGAGCACTGAGTGCCAGCCAGAAGAAAAAAGTCATCATAGCTGCATTAAGGACTCCTCAGAATACAGTTTCTATCCCATATGCCTCCCAGCGAGAAGCTGAACTTCATGTCATGCTGCTTTCTATGGTTATGATCTTTATTTTCTGCAGCGTCCCGTATGTGACCTTGGTGATTTATCGCACCATACTCAATATTTCAGATATTTCAGTCTTCTTGCTCCTCACTGCCATTTGGTTGCCCAAGGTCTCTTTGCTGGCCAACCCTTTGTTATTTTTAACTGTTAACAAATCAGTACGGAAGTGCTTAGTGGGGACAATAGTACAGCTGCACCGAAGGTTTAGCAGGAGAAACATTGTCAGCTCAGGTGGTGTTGTGGATGATAATCTGGAGCCCAATGTGCATTCGGGAAGCCAGCTTCTGGAGATGTTTCATATCGGGCAACAACAAATCTTCAAGCCAATGGAAGATGAGGAGAATGAGACCAAATCCATTGGCTCTGGTGACTTGCAGCAGAAAGAAATTCCTACCACCAGTTTAGAGATAGGACAGACTTTGGTTCACAGATTTATACCACAGACAGTTGCAGACTCTGCAGCTCAGGTGGCCCCAGCTGTGCCCACAGAAGCTGATCCGATAAATGACAAGTATTCCATGCAGTTTGGTTTTGGACCCTTTGAGTTGCCTCCACAGTGGCTCTCAGAAAACCGAAACAGTAAGAAGCGACTCCTGCCTCCTCTGGGGAATACCCCTGAAGAGCTAATCCAGACAAAACAGCCCAAGTGTAAAGCAGAGAGAAAAGTCAGCAGAAACAATAAAGTCAGTATCTTTCCCAAGGTGGATTCTTAGAAAGAGCAGGAGCTTGAAGTGACAGAGGAAGGTCACTTTCTATTATATATGTGATCCCATGGATCTTTATTATGTTGAAATTTGTTTCAGGCTGGTTTTTTTCTTGTGCCAAATATAATTTAAATGAACAAACAAAAGGAAAATGTATATGCAAGTGTTCCTTATTAATATGAAATATTTCATGAAAATAATATATCGAAATACGGAAATTCTTAAATTTTATCTCTGAAATCCTTACAACGATACCTGTCTGATTAAATTTCAAAAAGTATATATGGCTTTGGGACCTCTGTATGGCTGAATTATGGAAATATGTCAGTCAGTTTTCTGGGAAATCTCATGTTGTATTAAAATGGACTGGGTATCAAAGTAACTTAATAGGAAAGGCTGTAGAGAGCAGAAGACATACAACATGGGTAGTTCCTACTCTGGTGCAAATAGACATAGCAAGATTCTGCATATTTCATTAATGAAGTAAAATGGACTATTAAGTGCATTTGTTGTCTGTTAAGCCCATTTATTCAATCAGTGTTAAAGCTTACTGGATTTTTTTGCACAAATTAGTTACTAAGCATCTGCTGAACATCTAAAGTTTTTAAAAACCTAAACCACTGTTTTCTGGCATAAAACTTCCACAAAGCCAAGGATACCCAAATCATCATGTGTGTGAAACCTGAGAAAGACCTTTTTTGTAAAGACCCCAGATATATTCATGTAGTTTTAAATAAAAACTGGATTGGAGATCATGCAGGACAAATCCTGACTCCAATAAACAAGTATGTATGTGCCAAGGGCATAAATAGAACACTTTGATCCTGTAATAAAGGGCATATACAAATGTTCCAACAGTGTAATGTATCCATTGTGTAAGTAACAAAGGCACAAACCTTAAACTTACCTGCTGATGCACTCTGCTGTTTTCTTACGGGAAAGCCAGCAAATGAAAGAAATGCGTTTGAAATGCTAGTAGCCTTTCTCTGAGTGTGACAATCTTAGTTTCTGAGTCTGTGTCACAGAGAGAGAGACTCACACAGATAGACACTGAGTGTCTCAGTGACAACTGAACTGGTGAGTGAAGAAGCTGGTAACAGACCTCTAAAGGCAAAGATTTATTAATGCAGTTTCTCACAATTGACAGAGGTAGAGAGGTTTTTCTTCTACCTTCACAGGTACAGATACCAACCATCCTGCTCCACTCATCTCACGGAGTAGACCACCCACTGTATGAACATGAGACTTTCAAATCTGGTGCCTGATTCCTGAGTGAGCCACAGTCATGCCATCAGCACACCAGCCTTTCTGTGAGAACTCAGGCATCGTGCTGCAGCTTGCCCCTCTTCATAACCACAGGCATATTGTCTTGTTTATAATGAATGTGAACTTTAAATTATATCTGTCTGTTAGGTGACCTAAAACTATTGTAACCCTGACATTTTAATCCTTGTTCAGTTGCAAGTAGTCTTTCATCTGCATTCACTGTTGTCTCTCTGGGTAGTTTCTTAAAAGCATAGTCTTACAATATCTGTTTATTCCTTGTGGTTTTCCTGTACTTTAGCCCTTTGCTGCATGCTGAACCGTTTTCTGTGGTTACTGTCTGTTTATGAAAGTAGTTTTCTTTAAAGCATACTTTTAACAGGACAAGGTGAAGAATCTTGACAAGTTCACGGTAACTTACTAAATCCAACCAGGTAATCTTAAAAGTGACAGAAAATTCTGCTGAAGCAGAATTTGGAGATGTACATTTTCTTCCTTTGACATATTTGAAGAAAGTCACCAGCTTCTGATGATTCCAAGGTGGTGGATTTCTACAAGGCATTAAAAGCAAATGTTTTAATAAAAATATATTTAAAGAAAAGTGTGTATGTGTAAAATAAGTTTTTCTCCATTTCCTCTTTGGTTTCAGTGCACTTCACTTTTTGCTAGTTCAAGAGCTTCTCAGCTTGGGAGTAAGGAGCAGTCTTCAAGGGGTCCAGATATGGGACAGTAGATATAGCTTGCCTGAAATCAGACAGAAGAAAGATTCCAGAAAAAAGTGGTCCTTCTGTGGCAGAGGTGGAAAAGTACCACAGCATGTATTTTTTTTGTCAATAAAAAGTTATTTAAATATATAATTAATATCCAGTGTCTCACAAGAACAAAAGTGAAGTACAAAGCAAAGCTGTGGGAATTTATGAAGAGAAAGCCTGGTGTACTTTGGCTTGTGCAAATAGATTTAAAGGCTAAATCTTACTACACAAGAATAAACCTGGAGAAAATAAAGTTAAAACTCATTATTCTGCCACTTAGAGAGGGAAAATAGAGCACATATTAAACAAAAGAAAAAATAGTTTAAAAAGGATGAAAAGAGTATGGGGACAATGTCAATTTACTATTCTGAGACATCCTCAAGAAATACTGTTAAAATTCAAACATCATGTAAAAATAATATAAAAAACCCCAAACCCAACAAGTAAACAACACAGTCCTTCAATACTAAATAATGCTATTTTGGTTGAATACTTGAGAGCAGTTTATTTTGCACAATGGGAAAACCTTCCACAGAAAAGCAGTCTTTTAGAAACTCTACAAGTATTCTACTGTAGAACAGATCTAATTGTTACTAAACTGCAATAATTTAATGAACACAGTTGTTCTGGTTTTAAAAATACACCTATAGGTAATGTTTTCCAGAGAAGTATGGCTATATTTCTGTAATGAGTTTTCTTCTATTCTGCTCCCTGTTTCCTGGGATAATAATTACTGCATCAGTGGACTATAAGTTGAAGAACAAAGAGGAAAGTCAGGATGTTTCTCTAGATCAGTTGATGGGGACTTAGAAGCTGGTTCCAACTAAAAAGAATCTGTCCTATAAGTTGTTATGACAATAACTATGGACATGATTACATGCCGCACAGAACTCAAGTTGTTCCTCTTGTTCATGTCACACTGCTTGACTAAGGAGTATTATAGCTTCTTTGCCTCCATTTTCTGTAAAACTAAACCGTCTACTTTTTGCCTGGATCACATCCTAAGCTGCACAAGAAGGTCCTGAGACACTTGCAGGATCACATTGTTTGGTTTCCCTTGTGCCTGTCTGGTAGCAAACTCCCAGCACACTGCACGCTGTGGCATGAGAAATTTCAGCACAACACAATTCATCTTGAGCTCCTGCTTCCTATGCTCTCCTGTTGTCCTGTAGCAGGTGTGGCAACATGAAAGAGCTTTGTCAAGGCATGAACAAGTCAAAGAATGAAACCCTGGCTTTATTAAACAAAATGGAAGTTTTACCATTGACTCTGGACTTTGCATTTTAGTTTGGCCTGTCTTTGTCAGCTGACAGGTGACCACGCTGTATCACTATAGCTGATGGAGCACTCTGCAGAACTCTACTCCTCCTCACTGAGGGCTTCTAGAAAAGTTGGAATATGACCAAAATTTCTGGCTCTTTGCCCTTGACTTGGCACATGCCAGTCAAAAGATGTTAATACATAATATATTTGTCCTTTGAAGGAAAAGGGTCTATTTATTGCCCTAACATTTAGAGGAATTAATATGGTGAATATTAGTTGTGCTTGTCCTGAACTGAGTACTAGCACTGCTACAGCCTACCTTAAAAATATTACCTTTGGTAAATAAAAGGTATTTCAGGTGAGTACATGAAAGGATATTAAAAATAATCAAAGACAAATAACTCATGAGTCTTAAACAAAGTCTTGGTAATTTTTTCTCCAACATGTATGAGACAATGAAAGTGTCTTGGCTACCTTTTTGTGTAATAAAATGCTTTTGAGCAGAGGAGTATGAAGATACGCAGTAGCAATTGGGAACAAGTTCCCTATATTCCTCCTCTCATTTGTGCTTCTTTTTGATTGGATTAGGAAGAAAGCAATAAACGAATTCTGTTACTACAGTGACTGTGTTCTGAGTATCAAGACAGCTTGTCTAAATGTGACTTCATCATGTTGTAACCTGTCTTTTAGGATGAAAGGTAAATCTTGGAGTACTTTTCTTGCTGTGCCCTTCCTAGACGTAAGAGTTTTTTCCATTCTAAGCCTTTTTTATTTTTTTAATCATCATACTTCTGAGAAGTATCTACTTTAGCTTAGAATAAAACTGACCTGTTCCTGGAAAGGCAAAAAAAAAATCACACCTTTGGTTCTGCTCTTCTAGTTCAAGTTTCAATATAAGTACACCTGCCACCTATAACAATATTTGAGATTCTGTAATATTTAATGATGTTTACAAAGTTCAGTCCTCTTATTGGACAGGAAGAGTCTCATAGCCTGATCTAGAGGATTTGAGATGAACTCTGTGAATCTCTTCTTTTCCTCTCTGAGTCTACTAGGACATGTAACACTCATAGATCATAAGTTCAACTGCAGTTTGAGATATCCCTGGCAAACCATTATTACTCACTCTCAGGTGTGACAGCCTCATAGAAAACCTTCACTGATTCCATGTGACAAGCAGCAGTAAGGAGCCTATTCCTGCACCACTTTCAAAGGAGTTTTATGTCTGTTTTTTACCAGATTTGGAGCTGGATATTCTCCTTTCATGGAATTTCTGAAGTTTTAGGCAGTCTCTAATAGGGAAGCTGATAGCAAGTCAAACTCTGTCAGCTGTTAAGTATATACACTGTACTGTAGAAAGAAATAAATACTGGGGCAGTTATACCTAGCTGCTTACCTCATTATTCATAGCTTATTTAATTCCTAATACAGCAAATGCCAGATTTTAGTTTAGCCAGTTCTGAATGATATTGTCCATTTTACTGCTTTCTCATTGCCATTACTGGCCTTGAATACTTAAATACCTTAAATGCAGATGTAAATTTTAATTCTTCTATTTTTTGCTTCAAATCATCCTCTGCACCATCTGGAAAACACCACAGGTTCCTAACACCACTGTGGTATTGCATTAGCAATTGCAAGACTTAAGTTAGAATTTTAACATACTCGGGGCTTAGGAAGGAGGCTAAAACACAGAGAGTTCACTAGTGCATTTCTTGTGTTTGTCTTCAGTAAACTGTAGACCACATTGCATTGTTATGACACTAAATAGAAGGAACAAAGTGCTCTCTTATTGGCAAAACTGACAGTAAAATGCCATACTATAAGCATCAATGAAAACTCTATTACTTTGAATGAGATGGACTTAGTTTTTTTGAACTGTTTCCTGTAAATTTTTGCTGCCAATGAAAACCCGCTTTGATGTACCCAAGTATCAGAGTTAGTTGTAGGAGCCAGTTAATTTTGCAAGTTAATCAGAACACATGAATTAACCCTCTCATATTGTTTAAATGCAGAAAAGCTATGAAAAGGGATGGGATTAGGAAGGCAATTACACTCCTTTATTAATTAGATTCCTTACTAACAGTGAATATTCAAGTAAAAAATGGTGACCACAGTAATAATTTTAACGTTTATTTTAAAGTGATTCACCTATCCTTGTTGACAAACAAACCTGACGCAATTAATGCAGGAGCCTAGACAAACAAGACTAGCAAAAGAAGCAATAATAATTCACAGTAGAGAGACACTGTTTAGAAAGGTCAGTACAGTAACTTTTCTGTAGCTCCAACGGGCCCGGCACAGCCCTGCGGGGGGGACATGAGGAGGGGACGGGCGCCCTTCAAGCAGCACTTCTCTCTGTCTGGGCGGAGTGGGCAGAGCTCCAGCGCGGCTCCCTGCGGGCCAGCTGGGTCATGCCCGCATCCCTGGCCAGGAGGGCGAAGCAGCGGGAGCGGCCCGGCCGCCATCAACCAGGCAGGGCGGACGTGCCGCTATCGCGAGACCCCGCGGGGCCGGTCGTCATGGGAACGGCGGCGGCGGCTCCGCGCGTCCTGCCGCCCTCCCGCGGTGGGAACGGGGCTCTTCTGTCCCGCACGCCTTCCCTCCCAAAAAATCCACGGGTGTGGTGGGCCATGCTGCTGGCAGAGGCCTCGTGTAGGCCAGAACTCCTCAGGGAATAGGGGGCCTCCCGGCTGGCCGCGGTGGGAAGCGGGAGTGCAGCTTCATCGGACGTGGAGGCACGTGGTGATTGGTGTAAAGAGGCCTCTGCGGGGGATGAGCCCGGGATGCACGAGGTGAAGTGAATGGACACAAACTACTCTTTTTCTTCTCTGCCCGCTTTTTATACTTTGTTATGTTACAGACTTGTGTACAGGACTCGGTTTGCTCCGTTTCTTGTGCTGAATTAAAGAACTATATTCACTTGGGCCTTCAGAGAGTTACCAGCGCATGTCGCATACTCAAGATGTTTAGTTCCTGGGAATTCACACAGTTTTTGCAGAGAAACATGCATTTCTGTGGTTTAAACTCAAAACAGCTGAGATGGGGAATGTGATCATTTGGACTTTGGAACTTCCAAAGTTTAACATAAATAGCTTTTGGCTGCTTTAGTTGTGTTCAAGATGTCTCTAAAATGCCCTAATTCTTTTGTTTGTGCTTAGCCAGTCCAGTAGTTTTTGAGAAAAGAAAAAAAAAGAACCATGATAATTTCTCCATTGTGAGATTACTTTTAAGATTTACACCATTTGAAGTTTCTTTGATAGTAAGCACATTTGAATACTTTGGTTGGCTTGATGATATAAATGTATATTTGCACCTATATTAAAAAATGTATAATTGAGTAGCAAGCTGATCTAAATAGGAAAGACCTCTCAATATGGAATTTCTAGAAAGGATTTGAAACTTGTTTGATCTACATCTGAAATAGTACGAGATTTGTATTGCTTTACTATGGAACTGATAGTTTGAAGGGTTGTTTTTGAATTTTTTACCAATTTTAGGTAACAATGGACATTACAAGTGAGAGCGCAGATGACATTTCAAGGCCTGCATCTAGCTCAAAACCCGGTTGTGGATCTTTGAATACGTCTATAGAGTTACTAGCACCAGAGCCACATTTGCAAAAGGTAATTCTCTCCTTCAGCAGGTTAGAAACTCTATGCCTAGTTCTTCATAAGAATGCTAAAAGGTAATATTCTGCTTTTTTAGCTTCATATGCAGTTCTGGGCTCTGCAGGTGTGCTAAGGGCTTATGTGAACGTTCATGATGTGATCTGCTCCTTATGCAGCAATGGAGTAATTTTTAATTTCATTTTGGTGAATCTGTGTTACTTTTATATTTGCCACAAAAAGGGTAACCTGAAAAACTTGGTTGTCTTCCTTTTTATATTTAATCGTATTATTAAATAAATTGTGTTTTAAGATAAAAACATTTGAAATTCTGTCAGTAATACGTAAATGCACAGCTATAGGTTGTTAATGCATGAGCAGTCTGTGAATAACTTCACTTTCATCCCATTTGTGCTTTTAAATTTAAATTGGAAAGATTAAAAGAAATCATTTGAGCAATACTCACAAGTTGAATTTTTGACTACAGAGTTCTCTCTGGGTATTTTTGGGTTAAGTTTAAAAACCAATTCATACTATTCTAAGAAATAGCTCTAGGAATTTAGCAAAGTCTGTTGGAAGTAGGTGTTCATCCATCCTCTGAGAAAATTAGTATTGGGGATTAACTTAATTTTGGGGATGGGATATGAGATAAATTTGTTGGGATATAGGAACTAGGACTTGGGAATTGGAGATTTAGATTGATTTACTTAGCTTAGTCCAATTGTGTTGTACCTCTGCTCACTTGTCTGTAGAATGGGATCATAGTTAGATGCTTCACAGAAATATTAAAATATTTTTTTATAGATTCACAGTCGGGTATTGACGTTAACAGCAGATAACTTTGAATCCAAGTTCTGATCTAAACTTACCAGCTATCGGATGGAAATTGTAATCTCTTGAGAGTGATGAATTAAGCATGACCTTTTCAGCCTTTCTTTGTAGTATGAGCAAGAGATTGGGATGCTTCATGTTGCAGAGCACTCACAGTGTCTGGAAATGGATGAGATTGTTTTACACACAGACTCATGTGTGGTTGTCTGTGTAATAATTATTTGTAATTAATTGTAATAATTTCCTAGCGTAGCAGTCTGTGGAATGATGAGCTTGAGAATCAAAGTGATAACAGGAACTGAGCTCTGTGTCAGACTTGAAAAGGGTTCTTTTATTTAAGAAGTACACTTAAATATTGTGCAGAATTGTTGTTGGCCTTTGTGATAGCATGTGAGTATTGTGATTACCCAAAATCTTCTCCCAAAATATTTCTGTCTTTATGGTTGTAATAATTTCCATTTCATAGGTTGATTTACTTGTCAGTGTGACTGATGGTTATCAGAGAGGCAGCCTAGAAGATTGCTGTCCAGCAGAAAACAAAAGAGAGAAATCTGATGTCCAGGCAGTAAGAACAGATCAGCAAACCGCAGTGGAGAGTACAACCTTCTCTCTTCAGAAATGTATACAGAACCCCAACGAATTGTCAGGTGCGGAAATGACTAACACTTTCTTGTGTTGGGACTAGACTAAATATGAGGTTTGTATAGTTTGGGTAAAATTCTATTGGTGGAAGGAAAAGAGCTTGCAAATAGGTATCATTCTAGAAAAGAAGGTGTCAAAATCTATACCTTCACTTCTCTTCACTATTTGGAATCCATCTTTGGAAGAAATGGGTTATTACTGCCAGTAAGGTACAGCATATCTTTTGTGGCCTCGTAAGCTGTGGTCTGCACCTTGGTGATGACCTAAAAGATTGGGAGAAAGCAGTGGGTTGACCCAGGCTGGATGCCAGGCACCCACCAAAGTGGCTCTCTCAATCCCCTCTGCAACTGGACAGAAGAGAGAAAATATAACAGAGGGTTCATGGATTGAGATAAGGTCCAAGAGAGAGATCACTCACCAGATACCATCATGGGCAAAACAGACTCGAAATGAGCATATTAACTGAATTTATTAGTAACAAAGTCAGAGCAAGATGAGAAGTAAAATAAATCTTAAAAGCACCTTCCTTCCACCCCTCCCTCCTTCCCACACTCTACCTTCTCCCCTCCACTGGCACAGGGAATGGGGGTTACAGTCAGTTTGTCACAGGTTGTGATGCTGCTGGTCAGGAATGAGTCTTTCTGTGCTCCACCGTGGGGTCCCTCCCATGGGAGACAGTCCTCCATGAACTTCTCTAACATGAGTCCAACCCATGGGCAACCATTCTCCATGAACTGCTGTAACTTTTGCATGGGTCACTTTTCCATGGGGTGCAGTCCTTCAGGCACAGGCTGTTCCAGCGTGGGTCCCCCACAGGGCCACGAGTCCTACCAGGACCCTGCTCCAGCATGGGCCTTCCATTGGTTCACAACCTCCTTTGGGCACCCACCAGCCCTGGTCTCCTCCATGGGCTGCAGGTGGATCTCTGCTCACCCATTGCCCCCATGGGCTGCAGGGGAACAGCTGCTCCACCGTGATCTGCACAATGGGCTACAGGGGAACCTCAGCTCTGGCACCTGGAGCACCTTCTCCCCTCCTTCTCCATTGACCTTGGTGTCTGCAGAGCTGTTCCTCTCACAAGTTCTCACTCTGCTGTTCTCTGGCCGCAGGTACATCTGCGCTTTAACTTTTTTTCCTTCTTAAATATGTTATCCCAGAGGCATTACTGTCATTCTGATTGGCTCGGCCTTGTCCGGCAGCGGGTGTGTCCTGGAGCCGGCTAACATTGGCTCTGCCAGACATGGTGGAAGCTTCTGGCAGCTTCTCACAGAAACCACCCCTGAAGCACCCCCCGCCCCCAAACTCTGGCCATGCAAACCAAATACAGTGTGTTCCATGGAACCATGCTAGAAAGTGTATTCATTAAGGTGTTTTTATCAAACGTCTCACAGAGATCATGATCATTTGTTAGAAACTGTGTATCCTAACCTGTCCAAACAATTGGGTTTATGGTTATAAGTTATAGTATTTAAAACTGAATATTGTTAATACTAATAAAATACTTTGAATATAAGTATGCAATGTGTAATTTTAGTTAAAGCACTTGCAGCAGTGCTTTGGATGGCATTCTTCTCATTCTGTAAATGGTAATGAATTAACTTTCTGGAGCTTCTGACTATTGAAAAATAGAGATGCAAAGGCCAGTATTTGAAGCAGAAGTTTGGATACCTTCTTCAAATTTAGTTAAGAATTGGGGCCAAAAGAAATCCCTTGATTCCTGCAACTGCATTTAACATGAGTCCTGGCGTACTAGTCCATACCATTTTTTAAACTAATCCCTGCAGAGGCTCTGTGGGGATCCTTAGCTCACAAAAATGGATCTGGGTTATTGTGAAAGGCTTTTGCCTGTGTTTTTCAGGATATAGCTCTAATTCAGATTGTGAAGACATTGAAACATGGACTTTGAAATTCTGTGAACCTTTCCAAGGAAAACCAAGTACTGCAAAATCAGGTATTGCTTTTCAGGTGTATAAACTGAACAGTTTAATAGAACTTTTTCATTTTCCTTTTCTTATTAATGCTCCTAGGAGAGTTTGGGACTCAAGTGTATTTGTGTGTCTATTATGTAGTTATAAAAAAATACTACAAATTGAAAACATATATACATTGTGATATTCAAGAGGTGTTGGATGAATTCTTTGTTTAAAGATTGTTTTATTAATGGATATGCACTTTCTTTAATGTTATGATATAATTTAGTTTTACCTGCATTTGGTCAGGCAGAATCCAGGGGTGATTCTTTCCAGTGCAACAGTGCATGATACTTTTTTCTTCAGAACAGAAATTGGATAGAATTTAACCTCAAAACTTAACCCAGTCATTTAAACCCATCTGCTGGGTTTAGGCCAGTTGAAATAAGAGCTTTTTTTTTACCGTCTGTCCTTGGAGTTTCCCTGGAGCTCACTTAGATTTTTATAGCTTTTATAGCTTTCCCCTTGTTTTATCACTCATCTATTTTATGGCATAAAGTAGACCAATGCATTACAATAAATGCTTGGATCAATGACCTCTAAGATTAGAGAATGAAAGAAAGTATTGAAGGACTCCAAAATTTGGAAGTCTGTGGGATAGGGACGGTGCTACAAGTGTTCTACTTGTGATGTGGAAACTAAGTTTGACCAGGAAAGAGGACATGGCATGAGGATGCTATAGGAAGGGGAGAAGCTGAAAGTGATCAGAAATTGTGGTCTGCATATTTAGGAAAGAAAAAGAGACAGTACAGAAATCTACTTTAATTAAATAATGGTAGTTTTCATAATGTTTCATAATTTCTATTTTTCATAGCAACATTATCAGAATCTGGTTTGTCTGAGATATAAGACTGAAACTTCTGTAACATTTAAAGGTAGAGATATTAGAAGGTCTCAACCCCAGAGTTATTAATTTCAGCATATGTTCTACTTGTCAGGTTGAAGACATTCTTTTTATTTTTAAGCTTACTTTGTGATTTTTGCTGATACTGTGGAGATGTTGTCAGTCTTCCAGTATAATTTTGAATCAAATCACTTGCCCAAAATGGGTGTGTCTTCCTCTCCCACACCTCCATATCCAACTGCTATAGCTCAGAGGTTGATTCAGCATTCTGTTGCAAAGACTTCTGTATTTTTCCCTGCTACAAACAGGTTTAGAAGTTAACATGGTATATGTGCTTGACAGTAGTTGTACTCTTGTCTATTGTTGTTAACAAATTACTTGTTGTGCTTTTTAGTGTTTGTTTGGTTTTTTTTTAAGTTGACATGCTTCAAGCTAACATTAGTTTTAAATATATTCTACAGCAAACTTGAAATGTTCTGAAGACACAGATATAGATCCTCAGATTCAAGCAGCTATAAAGAAAATGAATAAACTTGACACAATACTTGAAAAGCAACATCTTAAGGAGAAAGCAATTAAAAAACAAGGCAAAGAAATGAGGGCAGTGCTCTGGGAAGAACTTCAGGTTAGGAGTGTTCTGCTTATTTTGTGAATGCTGAATTTTAGACTTATAGAATTATATTTCACAGAAGCATTATTTTAATAATTAACTCACAGTTGGCTGATTAAAGTGAAGAAATGAATTTTAAAAAGCAACATTGGATAGGTTTTAATATATATTGGCTAGGCAGGCTTTGAAAAAAGACCATGGTCCTTAAAAATTGATAAGACTGATTGTCAAATATACAGCTGTGTAGGTGTGGTCTACTAGCATAGTATTATGCTTCAGTTCACCACTTGCAGGTATGATAAGCTGTGACAAGAGGTAGTGTCTGTGAACCCAGGATGTGAAGCGTTTATTCTGCTCTAGTATGACCATTCTTAAGCCCATCTATTTCAGTACTGTCTGTTGTTGAAGAAATATAGATGCCCCCTGAAAAAGGCATAAGAATGTTACAGCACAAATTCCTTCACACTATTCCTACTCTCACCTCTAGCAATTAAATGCCACTTTAAGCCTTAAGTTAGTATTTCTTCTGAGGTTAAGTATTGTATATTTTGCATGAATACAAATGTGAGTTGCTAAAAAGACATGACTGGTTTGACTGCATCTCATAATTTCATTGGATTTGGATTTGGGGCCACATATACGTTACAGAACTTCTTTGACTTGTGAAATGTGTCTCCAAATAACAGAGGCTTTAAAGTTCCCCTGTACTTTTATCAGAAATTCAGATGTTCAGATAACCTCAAGAAGAAAATAAAGTAGTAAGTAAATGTTGCCACTGAACAAGGAATTTTTAATAGGGTCTGAAGTTCATTAGATTTGGTAAGCAGATGTGTTTCACTTTAAAGAATTTACTTTAAATATGTACATGTATCTATATATTTACACTTTATTCCTTTTGAATAGTCTATCAGAACCAGAGGAGGCCACGAGGAGATAGAAAACACAAACCTTTTTTTAGCTTTGTTCTCACCGTGGCAGGATACAACTGGTAAGTAAAAGGAAATAAATACCCTTATATAATTATCCTATATTTTGATTACTGTTCATATTTTTGTTGGATATGAGAAAAGTAAATCTTTCAAACCTTTACAATAGAATAATATTTGCATGAAAAAAGTGTATAAATGGAATATTTGAAAAATCAGCTGACATAATTTTTGCATTAACACAAATGTAGAAATTGTACTTTACCATTAACTTTGCTTATAGAAACTACATTTTTTTAAAGAACTGGATATTCTAGAAGGGTGAAAGTCCAACAAAAGTAAAGACTGCATTTTTCAAGTTATTGGCAAACACATGATTTTTTGCAGGAGGAGGGAGAACAAAACCAGACCGAATTTGTTAAGAATATACCATGTCAATTCTTCACAAGAATGGTTTTTAAAAAATTGCTGTTTGAATAATCTGTGTGGGTGCTGGAGTTCTCAGAGACATGTCAATCATGTGCACATTTTGCGTCCCATCCTTCTTCTGTATACCTTTGGTGAAAGGGTTTCTTGGCTGAAAGGAAGCAGAATTTTGGTTCATCCTGTCTTTTTCCTTGTTGGGGAGAGAACAAAGATTTGAGCTCTGAATGGTTATAAATGAGCAGAAGTCTCAGCTTGAATGTTGGATGTACATGCATAAAAATGGTAGCAATATGTAATTAAAACATTTCAGCAAAACTTACTATTGCAAGTAACCTGGTTTTATTTCTATGCTAATATTTGGGTTATTAAGGGAACTAAACAGAATTTGATACAGGTGATATTTAGAAAGTCTCCAGTAGATGTCAGGATATATTAAAAAAACAGTAGACAAGAAAGACTGCTAACAAACCTCCTTTTTTTCAAAGGTTACTCCTGCATCATATGTTTTCTGGTGTACTTTACTGACAAAACTCTGCATAGTTTAGATTTATATTTTTCCTCTAGCTTGATCTTTATCTTAACTTTTTGTAATATGCTAGTACCTTACTTTTAAGGTCTTATTTATTTATGTATGTATTTATTTATTTAAATGAGTGCCCTCATAGCTGCATTTGTTGATACTGCAATGGAACGCAGTTCATATATTTTGCTTTTCAGAACTTGAATTTGATGGAGCTTTATTAAGTAAATTACATAGGGGAGCTATTTAATGATAGCTTTTAATGTGGCTGTGAAATCAAACACAAGTTCCAGGTATAAAACTGTTGATAACTTAAGTGTCCCAGCCTGTCAGGGACAACAAAACCCTCTGGCACACTCACAGCAGAAATGTAAATCAGAAGTTAATTAAATGGCCTTAAATTCATTACCCAGTGGTCTGTATATCAAAATCGTACTTTTGAGTCCATTGCACTTCCTAATACTGGATATTGTTTGTTTTTTTCCTTGTGAAAAACACGTAATTCAAATGGTTCTTTGCAATATGAGTTCTTTTCTGTAAGTGCCGGGTGTATAGACTACAAGTTACTGCTATATTTCTAGTTGATACATGTCAATACTATGATTTCTTTTCTTTGTGTGGCTGAAACAAGTAGGGTGCTGTTTTCTAGACTATACCCTTGACCTAAACCACTTGGAAGTCTAATAATTCATGCATAGGCAGACACCAGCTGTGAAAACCTGGATACTTCATTTTCATTCAGATTTCTAGATGATTCGCCACATGGTGTCTGCAGAGGCATTTGAACTTCAGGGCCTTGGGCTATGGCTTTGAGAATGTGATTAATTGTCCTCTATGGGCAGTAGTTGTTAAAAACAAAAGTATGAAACAGCATACTTATTCATGAGTCACATCTTACACTTTCCCCCTTCTTTATTTCTTGAGAAGTAAGGTGTTTATGTAATTTATCCAAGTGAATTTCTTTAACTTTCATGTGTGAGATATTATAGCACGATACACATGAAGCTAGATCTTCTTTAGATGCACTTCAATTAAATTTTACTGAAAAAATTCCTTGCAGATCCCTCCCATACTAAAGAAAATGAAATATGTACTTCAGTAATTCACACACAAATGAATCCAGAAGCTTATGATTGTCATCAAACCCAACGAAGCAAGGGTAAGCTTTATTAATTGTACAGTTTGTATTTTTGGATATGACAAAACAACATGCAGTGGGTGGGTAATGAAGACTCGGCCTTTGTGGATAGGCCAATGAAATGGTAAAAAGCAAGGTTGCTTACTGGAATGGCAGTAGTTCTGACTTTTTTTGCAAATGATAAAAGAGAATAGTTTTGTGACTTATCTAAAACATTTTACTCAACATGCTAAGAAAATTGTTACTTTTGGGTTTATAAAACCATTTGCCTTTCATTTCAAAATGAAAAGGTGTGCAACTGATATATGCTAAAATGTATCATTGGTTCTTCATGGAAATTCTTTAAAATATTCTCTTTACTGTTACTGTAGGGTATCATAACTTTAATTAGTAGATTTATATTCAAGAAACCATATAAAAATGATGAGTGGTGCTGTATATAGTTGCAACTATTCTGTTTTGGTTTTTTTTTCAGCAGAAATTGTATGGATTTGTGACAAATATAAATCTTCAGACAACTTATTTAATATTTTGTTATGCTGATTATTGTAAAGTCTGCATTGTTTTTATGGATTAAGTACTTTCTGGCAAAACTCAAACACCTGCTGATTCTTTTAGAGATCACTTGTTAACGTGCACTGTATAGACATTTAAAATGCTGGTAGTAGCGTAGTGTGTCCAACACTTTAAAATAAATGGAATTGCACCTTTATGCCTCTGTTGTTTCCCTATTTGAAATTCGAATTTGCATGGTTGAGTAACTTTTCACATGTGTTGTGACATATGAAAAATAGCTTTGGCTGCCATTGCTATCACCTGCAATTGTTTATTTCTTTGTCATCTACCATTCTATGTAAACAGAAGGACTCTATCTTCCTGGTGACTGGCTAAGATGACAAGGACATAATAAACGTGCGTTCCTCAAGGCTGAACCATTGATGGCATCAAAATCTCTGCAGTTTGTAGAATGTGACTGCATGTTTTAGGTTTTGAACATGGACCTCATTTTATCACTTAGTCCACCAATATGCAGCCTTAACGTTGTGGGCTGGAGCAGTGCTTTGCTTTTCATTTCTCTCTATTCCTATCATGTGTCTTCATTCTTCCCTTAAAATGAAACTTGACCCTGAGCTTCCACCTTCAAGGTTTCTGAGTTGTGCTGGAGTGCCACTGAATAGCAACATAGGTTTCATTACCAATATTCAGGATAGCACTGACTTCTCAAGCTTCCAGTACACAGGGGTGGTTGGGAGTTGCGATCTCTTGCTCTATTTTGAGGTGTTCTACATGCTCCTGATTTGGGAACATGTGAAGCAGAGATCGCTTACAGCTTGTGGGCAATACATTGCTTAAATGACTTTTGCTATTCCTTCTGGAGACTCATAATGTGGTATCTGAATAGCTAAGGCTTGCTGTTTTGGTTGCTTTTGGATTTCTGTGTCACAGCTGTCATAAAGGCAGACCCTAAGAGGAGCTTAACTTGGGAAGAAGAATGTATGCATTAGTTTGATATTATTGCTTCAGCAGTCTCATTGAGATTGGTACCAAATCTTTGAAATTTGAACCAAATCTACCGAAACTCATATGCAAAATTTGTTGAGCTGCAATCTCTCTTTTACTTACCCATGTCAATCTTCAGTGTTTTCTTTGTCTCAGTGATCCTGTCTGTCCATTCTTTACTTGAATGTTCTGAGATGTTCTGTATGTAGTTCCCTCTCAAAAATGCTATCTACAGTAAGAGAAAGATATAGTTTAAAAGTAATGTATATCTTGCTGTTATGTTGGTGTTTGGTGTGTTCTGCTTATTTCAGAATATGACATCTCTTGTTTATATTGATTGGTAAGTTCTTTTATGATCCAGTTTCTTAACAGATTCAAGGTGTTGCCTGGTAATGTTAAAGTTTGGGATGCTTTCAGTAAACAGTTGTGCATTTGAACTGTGACAGGTTTTCTTGGTCAGATCCAACACTTCAGTCCTTTAAGGTTTTTGTGTAAAAGGATGCATGGAATTTATTTCATATCTTTGAGAGTTTGCTTTCAATCTTTTCACTGTGAAAAAAATCTATTTCCGTGTAAACTTCCATAGCCTGTCTTCTATTATCTAACATGTCAAATTTGGTTTTTTGAAGGCAAAGAGCCGACCCATTTTTCAAATCTCTACTTTCCAGAAAAGCAAAAATGCCATGACTAATTTTGAAGTAGTTCTTGAGATTTAGAAGTTGGTTCTATTTGCTTAGGCTTGTTATTTAATGTGATGAATATTTGCTGTTCATAAAGGAATTGTTATTTTAAGCCTCGTAAAAGTCTCTGAAAAACAGAATACATGCCCACGTTTTTGTGATGGATAGAACCCATTGTTATTAGAATATCATGTGTCTGTTTAATAGATTTACAGCTCTATGATGAGTTTTATTTTTTAACAAAATTTGTTTTATAAGCTGTTATAATAATATCAACTATATCATCTGTTTTTCAGCTGTTTTATTTAGAAAAATGTACTTGATATGTCTCCAAATAGTTCTGTGGTTTTCAAAAAATTATTGTCTGTTTTTTTCCTGATGAGAAAACTGCAGTGATGATAGGGTTTGAAGGAATGCCGTGGCTTTTAAGGCTACCATGTTCAACATTTTTGAGGTCAGAAATCCAAAAGTATTTTAGCCTTTATAACATTGAATGATCTCATATCATAAAAAGTTAAAAATGAAAATAGATTTTGACAATAGCTATGTTTTAAATATAACCATATTGTTTATGTAAATAATGAAAACACTGTACAAAAAGTTTGTCTATAAACTTTATATGTTTGCTAAAAATTTAAATGGGATTGCTGTTATTACAGCTCTTACTGAACCAGAATAGGAATGATTATAACTTAGAAACTTTTCTTCCTCAAACTTCAGATTATCCAAGTGAATTAGAAACAGAATTAGAAAAAACAGCAGAGAAAATACGTAGCAAAAATAAAAGCAACCAGGATTTCATTAAAAAGAACATTGAGGTAAGCATTAAAGTGTCAAATCATTTACATTTTGTTAAATGTTAGCTAAATATTGGTCTATAAGTACTTCTGGAGACAGTGTTTTTAAATCAGGAACATTAAAAGCTAATTAGACATAAATTAAAAACCTTTCTCTTAGAACTGTTATTTATGGCAGAGTACTATATAAGGTAGATCTCATCTTGGATGATCATATTGGTGAGGATAATAATGCTTCCATGTATTTGCTAAAGAGTACTGGAAACTGAATTGTTCTGTTTGTGCCTGTCCATAGCTTGTTTTAAGGACAAATATTTCCTAAGACTTATATTTACTGTTAAGTTAAAGGAAGATGTCCTTATTCATAGATAAGGAATAGATATACAGATTGTTCATGTGCTGGGTTAGGAACTGGTTGGAGGGCCAGGCCCAGAGAGTGCTGGTGAACAGTGCTGCGTCCAGTCACCAGTGGTGTCCCCCAGGGATCAGTGTTGGGCCCAGTCCTGTTTAATATCTTTATCAATGATTTAGATGAGGGGATTGAGTCCACCATCACCAAATTTGCAGATGACACTAAGCTGGGGGGGAGTGTCGATCAGATGGAAGGCAGGAGGGCTCTGCAAAGGGACCTGGACAGACTGGAGAGTTGGGCTGATTTCAGCGGGATGAGGTTCAACAAGGCCAAGTGCCGGGTCCTGCACTTTGG